CGTGGTGTGGGCGTGGGGTGGCGGGTGGAGGCGGGTGGTGGCGTGTGGTGGCGTGTGGAGGCGTGTGGTGGCGTGTGGAGGCGTGTGGAGGCGTGTGTTGGGGCACTGTCACCTGGGTATGACCTGGCCTTGCTAACAAGAGCACACAGCAGCTGTGGCTGTCTGCCTGGGGCCTGGGAACAGAGGGACATTTGCATAGAGAGGGGGAACAGTGATGGAGTGGATGAGATGAGAGGGCGGCAGGGTGTGGTGAGGGTGAGCTGAGTGTACACAAGTTAAGAGCACTGGATGCGCCCGGCATTAGTGGCGCACACCTTTAATCCCAGCACTCAGGAGGCAGAGGCAGGCAGATCTCTGTGAGTTCAAGGCAAGCCTGGTCTCCAGAGCGAGTGCCAGGACAGGCTCCAAAGCTACACAGAGAAACCCTATCTCGAAAAAAAAAAAAAAACCAAATAAAAAAGAGCACCAACTGCTCTTCCAGAGGACCAGGGTTCAATTCCCAGCCCCCACATGGTGACTCACAACCCTCTGTATCTCCAGGTTCAGGGGATCCAATCCCCTCTCTGGCTTCTACAAGGAACACCAGGCATGTATGTGGCACACAGACACACAGATGGGCGTACACTTATACACATAGAATAATAAAGTATATTTTTTTAAAAAGTCAAACTGGGCTGTGGTTGTGGACACGCCTTTAATTCCAGCACTCAGGAGGCAGAGGCAGGTGAATCTCTGTGTGTTTGAGGCCAGCCTGGTCTACAGAGCGAGTTCCAGGATGGCCAAGGCTACACAGAGAAGCCCTGTCTCAACCCCCCCCCCAAAAAAAGCCAAGAACTCCAAAAAAGATGGTAGCCCAGTCTCTTGAATTTGGGGCATCTTCCTCCCTGGGAGCATTTTCACAAACACAGGTGCACCTCAGCACACGGATCTGAGGGGCTGGAGAGATGACTCAGCACACGGATCTGAGGGGCTGGAGAGATGACTCAGCACACCGCTTTTGCAGAGGACCTAAGTTTGGTTCCCAGCACCCACAGTAGGCGGCTTATAACCACCTATAACTTCAGCTCCAGGGGATGCTACACCTGCCTCTGACCTCTGTGGGCAGTCCACTAATGCACCCACACACAGACACATAATTAAAAATGAAATAAAACTTTTGCGTCTTTATTCAATTTTTTCATCTTTTAATTTTATGTGTGTTTTGTCTGCATGTACACATGTGTACCACGTGAACACTCTGTGCCCATGGAGGCCAGAAGAGGATGTTGGATCCCTGGAACTGGAGTTACAGATGATTGTGAATTACCCATGTGGGGGCTGGGAACCAAGCCGGGGTCCTCTTCAAGAAAAAGTGCTGGGGCTGGAGAGATGGCTCAGAGGTTAGGAGCACTGGATGCTCTTCCAGAGGAGGTCCTGGGTTCAAGTCCCAGCAACCACATGGTGGCTCCCATGGGATCTGGTGCCCTCTTCTGGTATAAAGGGGTGCATACAGATCAAGCACTCATATGTACAAATAAATAAATAAATCTTAAAAAAAAAAAAAGAACAAGTGCTCTTAGCTGCTGAACCATCTTTCTGGCCCAAAACAAACTTGATGATTTAATAATACAATCAATCAATAACGTGATTCTGATGTGGGGTTCTGAGGACCAGGAATTCTTTCCCCTCAGCTCTCTGCACAGCCAGCCTGAAGGCCAGAGTAGGAATCCGTTTACAAAATGCCTCCTGGGCGAGGTTTAGGCCTGGGAGACTTGGATGAATAAAATACAGGCAGGCCCATGCTGCAGGGTTCACATGACAAGAGCGAGTAAGGCTCCAGACAAGGAAGGAGTCAGGTGGCATGTATGCTCTGGCTTCAGACCTGTTCTGACAGGACAGCAGCCCCTGTTCCTCAGGCACTTAGGACGTAGGAGGAAAACCTTAGGGGTAGGGGGACTGGCAGTTAGGGTTAGTGCATTGGGAGGGACTTACCCTGAGCACAGGAACCCCTGACAACCCTGTCTCAGTTTCCTGGTGCTCACAGTGGGGTGTGGACGCATGAGGGTTAGCTCTGGCACCAGTGCCAGCTAGCTGCCAAGACGAGAGACATGTTTGGGTTGTCAACAGAACAACTAACCATCTGTTGACAGCTGGGTAAGGGGAGGGTGCCCCTGGCTGCGCAGAACGGCAGGCTCCTGCCCCCTCTACACCACAGAAAACATACCTGCTCCTATTTTGAAGTAACTAGGGCTACAGGCCATTAAGTCTTGGATTTTAATCGGTCACCGGAGGAACAGGATTTTCAGAGTGGTGGCTTTGACAGGGTGGCAAGGGGAGAGGGCGAATTACCCCTTGCCTAGATTTTTCTTTCCCCTCTTCATGTCCACGTCCTCCTCCTCCTCTTCCTCCTCCCCCTCCTCCTCCTCCCCCCTCCTCCTCCTCTTTCTCCCCCTCCTCCTCCTCCTTCTCAATACAGTTCTCATGTAGCACAGGCTGTGCTCCAGTTTGCTATGTAGAGGAAGAGGACCATGAATTTCTCATCTGACCTCCCAAGAACCAGGATTGCAGGCATGTGCCACCACCCTGGGCAGGGCCTCATGCATGCTAGGCAGGCACTAACTGGGATGCATTAACATCCCCGAAATCTTCTAAAGGAGCCCCAGGCACAAACTCTTTATATTGTGTTCATTTCCTTGGGAGCTTGAAGATGGGACACAGTCTGGGCCCGAGCTCAGCCTCTGTTGTGTGACCATCAGTAAGTGACACATTTCTCCGACGACTTTCATCAAGCATCTCCAAACTGCTGTCATTATTCCAACCCACAAGGGTGTGGACGCCACTGAACAGCAGAGCAGTGCTGCCAACACACACACACAGAGACACACACACGTATACATACCCACAGATGCATTCACACACACACACACACACAGACACACACACAGACACACACACGTATACATACTCACAGATGCATTCGCACACATAGATACATATGCACACACATACATGTGTATGCATATACAATGCACATACGTATTCACACACATACACACATGCATACACGCATACACATACACTCATATGTACGCATACATACACCCCCAGATACAAGCACACAGACACACAAGTAACACATAAATGTGTACATATATGCACACGCACTCTCTCTCTCTCTCTCTCTCTCTCTCTCTCTCTCTCTCTCTCTCCTTTGCTATCTCCCTGTGACATTTTCTCAGAGGGCCCAGCCAGACCCACAGCTCCTAGGGAGAAGGGCAGTTTTCTAAGATTTGGGGACTGGGTGAAAAGTTCACTCATTCCCTTGCCTTGTGACCTCCAGCCCTCCCAGGTCACCACTCTCATCGTCCTCCCCACCCCTGAACAAGATGGGACTGTTGCCAGGGCGTTGGTGTCACACGCCTTTAATCCCAGCATTCGGGAGGCGGAGGCAGGCGGATCTCTGTGAGTTAAAGGAACAGACCAAGTTCCAGGACAGACTCCAAAATACTACAGAGAAACCCTGTCTCAAACCCCTTTCCCCCCCAAAAAAAGATGTGACTGTCAAAGTGAGCCCCCAGAAGAGTGTGCATGCTTAGGTGTCAGGCAAACCATGGCAGGAATCCTGCTTCTGGCCCTCAGCCTCTAGGGTCCCTGAGGTGGTGGTATTGGGTACATGCCACCACTCTGTCTGGCCTCTGTGATCTCAGACAAGAAGCCTCACAGTTCTGAGATGCCGTTATGGGCCATCTCCCTGGATTGGGGAGAACTCAGTCATTTGGGGCAGTTCTGAGTATAGTGGGACCCGCCATGGTGACCCCATTGCCCCTCTACCCATGTGCCTACTGCTCCTCTCCTCCCCTCCCTCTTATACTTTGACACCCCTTTCTGTGTTCAGCTGAGAGCCCAGACCCCAAGGCTCAGCTACAGTACAGGACCCTCACTATCCTGCATGTTCAGAGGCTCCTGTTCCCAGGCCCAGACCCCAGAAGGCCCCAGGGACCTACAGCATGGGCACATGCTCCATCCGCTTCCGCCGAGCTCTCTAGCTGAGACAATCTGCCCCTCCCAACTCCTCAGTAGCTTCCTGGCCAGTCAGTCTGGTGAGTTCGGACCAGTTTCTCAAGGACATTCTTAATGGCTTCCTTAACCCCAGGAGGGGAGGGGAGGGTGTTGATTGGTGGAGGGCACACCTGTCCAGGTGCACAGGTGCCACAAACAAAGAAGCTGTGTCGGAGGGAGGTCCTGTCTGGGCTTCAGCAGGACGCAGTGGCAGGTGAGGGTCAGCTGGGTGCTGAGTTGGGCAGGGACTTGGACTTGGACAGCATCTTCGGGGGCCATGCAAACATGGAGAGGACGGGTGTGGGACCTTGAGGGGTTTCCTTCAAGAATCTCCTTCAGGACTTAGAGGGGGGTCTTCTGTCTTCTGGCCTCCAGAGAATGGCCATGGGACGTCACAGGTGCCCATGGGGACCCCACAGAGACAGGCTATCCCTGGGCAAAATGACCACTCTGTGAAGTAGAAAGAGTCTAGTGTCTCAGGGGTTAGCAGTGGGAGTTAGAACAGGGAGTTGGTTCTGACTGGGGCTTCTGGACGAAGGACATAGCAGAATGACCACCTTGCATCTAAACAGAACCTTCCGGATCAGACATGCACACACAATCCCTCTGGGTCATGTGGGAGCGTGCACAGGCACGGAACACACAGCTTTCTCTTTTGCTTAAAAACCAGAGAACATTGGAATAGCCTAGAAGCGGGCACAGGTGCACAGCGGCTCACCAAGAACTGTCCACCTGTTGTCAGAGAAACAATGGAGGAATTAGTGGGGCTTCGTGAGGGCTCCTCTGGGAAGCTAGTGACTCTGCAAGAACTGTGGACTCCGTGTCCTCGAATCCGCAGAAGCATCCAGGGTGAGAACAAGGGTCCCCTCCCTCTCAGAGTCCCCACAGAACAACACTCACCCTAGGCCCAAGATGATCCCCCCTGCCCCTGTTGCTTCTGTTTGCTCCCAGATGACACACCCAGTCTCTTGGGTGGCAAGGGGAAAGGGTCTGTATGTTCGCTTTGAATCTGTCTTTGTAGCCAGAGGGCAGAGAAAACAGGGACCCTAGAAAAAGGCAGAGTAGAGGCCCAGGCATTGGTGGCCACAGCCAGAGAGGGTGAGCGTCAAGGTGGGGCTGGCAGCTGGTGACTAGGGGTATCGCCGGGCACCCCTCCCCACAGAGCTCTCTGGGATGTAAACCCTATGCAAATACTGACTAGAGCTGCAATGTCAGGCTTTCCCGATCCTGCTGCCCCCTTTTGAACTGTTCCTCCAGTTCCCAGTGTGGGAGGAGACGCAGGGGGTCAAAGGTCTACCCTGGGATACAGGCATACCACTCACGGTGCCATCACACACTTGCCATAAATCATGCTGGGTCCGTGTGTGAGGTAGAGTACCTCTTCATCATTTGGACTTTGTCCCTGGGGTTCCTACCCTTTCCTGCCTGGCCCTCCCTGTCCAACGCCTGAGCAGCCCGCAGGGAAAGAGCTGTGACCCCAGTGCCCTGCCCAGGGGCCCTGGAGTGGCTGAAAGAGCGGCTGTTCCGCGTGGGTGAGGACTGGTATTTCCTGATGGCCCTCGGGGTGCTCATGGCTTTGATCAGCTATGCCATGAACTTCGCTATCGGGAGTGTGGTCAGAGGTAAGGCCTCCTCCGCATGCACACACCTTCAGAGCGATGGGATTCCTACACATGCTTGGGCTACCAGCTGGACCACCGGAGCAGTGGGGTGGGAACAAATCTGTGACTGGCCATGCCTGGAATTGAGCCTTGCTTGGCTCTTGACTTGCTGTGTGTCTATGGGCAGGTTCTGTGCCCTACTGGCCTCCGTCACCTCATCTACACAGAGAGCATGGAGCCTCTCTCATTTGAGCTTGGCCACCCCTGTTCTTTCTCTCTTACCTTGCTCTCAATTCAATGACCCTCAGGCCTCAGGCCTGAAGTAGACCCTCCTTTACTTCTCATTGGGCAGCCCTGTGAGTGGGCGCCACAGTCTGACCCCCCAGGGCTGTAGAGGCTCTGGAGGGCTCCCAGACTGCTTGGCATTTCCAGCACACAAGTGGCTGTACAGAGAGATTGGGGACAGCCACCTGCTCCGATATCTCTCCTGGACTGTGTACCCTGTGGCCCTCCTGTCCTTCTCCTCTGGCTTCTCACAGAGCATCACGCCGTCCTCTGGAGGTGAGTCATGGTCACCTGGTTTCTGTCCAGCCTGCCTTGTCCTGCAGTCCCCATGGGTCAGTAGTGACCCCATGTAAGTGCTGAGGAAGCAGGCTTGGAAGAGCCAGGCCATTTATCCAAAGTCACACAGGGAGAGGGGTCAGCAGGGGACCCAGAACATCAGCTCTGTCTGACTTCCCCGGGGCTCCTCCAGGACAAGAAGGAAGATTGGTTCCCATATAGGACTGTAGCCAATGTAGATCCCCTAGGCCTCTGGAGCCACCTCCAGCTACAGGCTGGGTAGAATCTTGAGGGTACATCTGACCCCTAATTTCTTCTTCTGGCAACTGTTATGAATCCTACTCATGGAGAGTATGAGGCTGTTTTTGAGTTTTCCTGGGGAGACACAAACGTGTGCTCATCCCATGTAGAGAACCAACAACAGACCAAAGCAATGACTCCACATTAAGGAAGTCATGCGTTGAGGCTGGAGAGATGGTTCAGAGGTTAAGAGCACTGGCTGCTCTTCCAGAGGTCCTGAGTTCAATTCCCAGCACCCACATGGTGGCTCACAACTATTTGTAATGAGATCTGGTGCCCTCTTCTGGCATGTAGATATACATGCACACAGAACACTGTATGCATAATAAATAAATCTTAAAAAAAAAAGGAAGTACTTACAGAGAGAGTATGGGTGAGGGGTTAGCTATAGGAGCTTAGATGCTTAGATGATTCAGAGGCATCTGCATCACCAAAAAGCCCACCTCAGCTTGGGTGGCAACTGATAAAAAGTGGGCCTTGTAGGCAGTTCAACCAACTGTCAGAACATTGCCTCTCCCCTGAAATTGTTCCTGCTGATGCAACCTTGGAGGGAGGAGCTTTGTGAATCCTGTATGTTTCAGGAGTTTCCTGTGCCTTGTGAGTTTCTTGAAAAAAAATTAAAGTCAGGGTCTTATTACCTAGCTCTATATGGCCTGCAATTTGATACATATATCAGGCTGACCTGGAGGTCCGCCTGCCTCTGCTTCCTGATTTCTGGGATCAAAGGCGTGCGCCACCACAGCCAGCTTATTTCTTGAATCTTAACCAGCCTCTTTCCCTTGATTCAGAAGGAACAGCTACTCAAGAGAGGCTCTGTAGGAAAGGGCCCCAAGAGTGCTGTGTACACAGGGTGCTGAAAGAATTAATGCAGACCCTTCCTTCCTCTGTCCTCTACCTATCTGAACCAGGGTCGGGGATCCCAGAGGTGAAAACCATCTTGTCTGGTGTGATCTTGGAGGATTACCTAGACATCAAGAACTTTGGGGCCAAGGTGACGGGCCTCTCCTGCACCTTGGCAACAGGCAGCACCTCCTTCCTGGGAAAACTGGTACAGATGCGGAGGGCCCACTCGCCATCCTGTTGTCCAGCCCTGACAGCCATGTTCCATACTACAGCCAGCCCAGTCTTGGGGGAGCACATCCAGGTCCCCAAATGTGACAAAAACCAATTAGGGTAGCAGAGGGCTGGATCAAGGATGTGATGCTAGTCCATTGCTGGACAAGGCTTGTGCCTTTCTTCCCTAGGCCCTAAGGAGGAAGAAGAAAGAGGAGGTGGTGGTGGAGAAAAGGAGGGGGAGGAGGAGGAAAAAAGAAGAGGAGAGGAAGAAGGGGGCAGGGAGCACAGGAAGGGTGGGGAGGTGGGGTCCAGCTTTCCCAGCAACAGTCGGGCACTATCCTCACCGTGCAGGGCCCCTTTGTGCATCTGAGCGTGATTACTGCTGCTTATCTGGGCCGTGTGCGCACCAAAATCATCGGGGAATCTGAGGTGAGATGCTCGCTCCGGGTTGGGCCTCCTCAGGGAAGGGGCGGAGAGAGCAGAGCTCAGGGTACTGTTCTTCCCAGAACAAGACCAAGGAAATGGAGATGCTGGCCTCGGGAGCCGCGGTGGGTGTGGCCACAGTCTTCGCAGCCCCCTTCAGTGGTGAGAGCTCCTACACACACGCGCACACACACACACACACACACACACACACACACACACACACACGCGCGCGCGCGCGCGCGCGCGCACACACACGCGCGCGCACACACACGCGCACACACACTCACACACACGCGCACACGCACACACACACACTCACGCACACGCGCACACGCGCACACGCACACGCACACTCACACACGCACGCACGCACACACACGCACACGCACACACACACACTCACGCACACGCGCACACGCGCACACGCACACGCACACGCACACTCACACACGCACGCACGCGCACACACACGCACACGCACACACACACTCACGCACACGCGCACACGCACACTCACACACGCACGCACGCGCACGCACACACACACTCACGCACACGCGCACACACACACACGCGCACACACACACGCACGCACGCACGCACGCACACACACACGCACACACGCACGCGCGCGCACACACACGCACACGCACACACACGCGCACGCACGCACGCACGCACACACACACACACACACACACACAGTGTCCTGCAACTGTGTGAGGCCCTTCTGTGCTGTGTGCCCCCCCAGGGGTCCTGTTCAGCATCGAGGTCATGTCCTCACATTTCTCTGTCTGGAATTACTGGAGGGGCTTCTTCGCTGCCACCTGTGGGGCCTTCATGTTCCGCCTCCTGGCGGTCTTCAACAGTGAGCAGGGTGAGCCCCATGGGGGGGGGGCTCGTCTCTGCCCTTCCTCTTCTGCGACTCCTCCCTCCTGTTTCTCTCTGTTTCTGCTCCTGCTCCCTTCCCTCCACTCCTCCTTCCTGTCCTTCTAAGAGAACACAGGGTCTGATCTGTGTTAACGCAGGGGCAGGGGCGGGGTGGGTCGAGATCCCTAAGGGAGGAGGTGTTGGACTACCTGGGAGACTAGCCAGGTGACTAGAATTGCAGGGAAATTCGAGAGTTGGGTCTGATGCTGCGCCCACCCTTAAGTGAATTGTTCTGAGACTGGTTGAGTGGAGAAGGCTGGCATTGGATACCACTTTCTTCCTTTTCCAGAGACCATCACCTCCATCTACAAGACCAACTTTCGGGTGGACATACCTTTTGATTTACCAGAGATCTTCTTTTTTGTGGCCCTGGGGTGAGTAGAGCCCCAAACCCTGAAAGCCATACTCAACCTAGGATGGTTCTGGCCTCACCCCCACCTCCACGTCCAGGGCCATCTGTGGAATTCTGAGCTGTGGGTACATCTTCTGCCAGCGAATGGTCTTAATCTTCCTCAAGGCCAATGGGTTCATGTCCAAACTGCTAGCCACCAGGTAGGCTGGGCCCTTCAGGGAGTGGCCCACTTCCAGCCTTCTGTAAAGAGCCACCCCTTCCACTGAACCCTTCTTTCCATCAACCCTCCAAAGCTCCTCCTAGCTCATGCCTCACTTATGGTACCCAGACACTGCCCCACTTAAGTGAAAATCAAGCCCCTCCTCGAGTCTGTCTGGTCCCTGAATTCCACCCCCCACCCCCGTCAGCCTCTCACATACGTACCTGCCTTTAGCATTCCTTATGCCCTAGGCCAGCAAGGCCAACCCCATCCTGGCCTGCTAGTCCTGCATCCCAGTCCCTTTATGTCCCCAAAGCTCCTCCAGCCCCTCCCTGTCTCACATCAGGTGTCCTGGTCCCAGTCCATCTCTTTCTTCTTGGGGGATGGGGTGGGGAGGGCGTCTGGAAGTTTCCCCTTCTCCTCCGTAGTCCTTTCTTCAGGGTGCATGCCAAGGCTGTGGGGAAGGGGAGGAGGCAAAGTAGAACCCTTGTCTCCACAGCAAGCCCTTGTACTCAGCTCTGGCCGCCCTGATCCTGGCCTCCGTCACCTATCCACCTGGCCTGGGCCGCTTCATGGCTTCCCGGGTAAGGGGCACTGAATTTGGCGGTGGCAATGGAAAACCCTCATTTGTTGTGCCTTCCTTGTGTAGTTTTGCACCCAGTCCCCTCGAAACCTACTAAGGAAAATGTCTACAGGCCATTTTTCAGATGACAATGTTGTGGCTCAGCAATGCAGAGCCATCTTCAGGGGAAGGGGTACAGTAGGTGAGGCCCGGTGGGCAGCAGGATGGATGGGGACACGCTGACCTATACCGGCAATGCAGAGCCATCTTCAGGGGAAGGGGTACAGTAGGTGAGGCCCGGTAGGGATGGATGGGGACACGCTGACCTATACCACTGCCTCTGCCCCAGCTGTCCATGGAAGAGCACTTGAAGACACTGTTTGACAACAACTCATGGGCTTTGATGACCAAGAACTCGTCCCCACCCTGGCCAGCGGAGCCAGATCCCCAGAACCTATGGCTGGAATGGTGCCACCCACAGTTTACTGTCTTTGGGACACTAGTCTTCTTCCTGGTCATGAAGGTGATGGTCAGTCCTGGGTGAGGGGCTGCTTCCTGAGCTGAAGCCTGGAGCCCTGCCTCCTACATCCAGGTCTCTGATCTGACCCTGGCCCACTGTGAGCCTCAGAAATTCTCCCAGCCTCAACTCCTCCCCTTTCTCTTCCTCCTCCTCCTTCATTTGAAGGGTGTAGTCTCACTAGGTAGCCCAGGCTTGTAACCTGTTCTCCTCCTGCCTCAGCCTCCCAGGTGCTGGGTGACAGTCATGACCCATGGTAACTAGATCAGTTCCCTTATCTTTACAAAAATGCACGTGCATGCATGCGTGTGTGTGTGTGTGTGTGTGTGTGTGTGTGTGTGTGTGTGTGTGCATGAGTGTGTGCATTCGAGTATGTGCCAGCACGCCATAGTGCAGTGTGGCGATCAGGGGACAACTTAGAGAAGTCAGTTTTCTCCTTCCACCAAGGGATTCCAGAGGCCAGGCTCAGTGGCAAGAGCAGTCACACACAAACCCTGGCCCCCGGTATTCTTTGAGATGGAATAGTTGCCTTTTCCTAAAGTCAGCCTGAGAGAGAAGAGGAACAAACCTAGCATGTGCTCGCACACAGTGGATGCTTTACTGAGGCTTGCTTAGTTCCTTCCCTTGGTTGGTGTCATCTCTAGTGCCAGAAGCTTCGGTGGGCCCTGGCCTGGGCATCTTTTCTCTAGGAGCCTCCCACCCCCCTTGTCTGAGCCCTACTGTTTGCTCTAACTCCTGCCATGTGGGTACCACTTCCCTACAGTTCTGGATGCTGATCCTGGCCACTACCATCCCCATCCCCGCTGGGTACTTCATGCCCATATTTATCTATGGTAAGACTGGGATCTCAGAGGGTTCAGGGGCACCAGAGACATGGCTTCCCCACACCACCTTCCTCCCAAGGTGGTGTTGGGGACGGGGCAGGGTTTGAGAAGCTTAGGATCAGGTCAGCATGGTTGTGTCCTTCACCACGAGTCTGTGGCAGGAGCTGTCATCGGGCGCCTCTTGGGAGAGGGTTTGTCTGTCACCTTCCCGGAGGGCATCGTGGCTGGAGGTGAGGTTAATCCCATCACGCCTGGGGCCTATGCTCTGGCAGGTGAGTGGACTTAGGACCAGCAGGTGGGCAGATCTCATGGGTTGGACTGAAACAGGGGACATGCATGAACTAGCCACTGAACCTTCCATTGTGTCCCTCATTCCTCAGTAGGCCTGTTCACTCCCTGAGTCGTTCCATCCCCCAAGCCTCCCTTCTTTTTTTCTATTGCTTTTTTCCCCCCATCCTCCACCTGCTCTGAATCTCTTTCCTCTTGCCATGACCAGGTACTCCCGATAGTACTCTCTAAGCACTGCTGAGCCTAACCGTGGTCACACTATGCCCACCTTGCCCTCTGGGTGAGCCTGGCTGCTGGCCTGAGTCACCCACCGTGGCTCTGTCCCTGCAGGTGCTGCTGCCTTCTCCGGGGCGGTGACCCACACCATCTCCACGGCACTGCTGGCCTTTGAGCTGACCGGACAGATTGTTCATGCACTGCCTGTGCTGATGGCGGTGCTGGTGGCCAATGCCATCACTCAAAGCTGCCAGCCTTCCTTCTACGATGGCACCATCATCGTCAAGAAACTGCCATACCTGCCATGGATTCGTGGCCGCAAAATTGGGTGAGCCTCAGGCTGGCTGATGGAGTGATGATGCCCAGAGTGGTCTGGGGTGGAGGGACCCCTGGAAAACACCAGCACAGCTAACTCTGAACTTTAGGGGTTAGGGCTGATACATAACCGCCCTCTGGTCCTCAACATCCCCAGAGCCCCATGTGCTGGTTGAGAACCTGGGTCTCTATCAGGTGAGGCTGATAGGGAATGAGCACCAGGTGGGGGAAGTCCTTCTCCTCCCCATCCCTGCTCTGATGGCCTTTGTGGGTGGTTGGCATGCAAGTGGGCTCTGAGGACATTCCAGTTTGTGCTCTAACTTCTTCGGTCCCCAAGTGGTGTATCTCAAAGGCTTCAAGAGTCACTGAATCCAAGACCCAGCTCCAAATAAACCTCAGTTTCCCAGCCTTTAACATAGTGTGGGTCTAGCTGGGTGGTGGTGTCACATGCCTTTTAATCCCAACCCTTGGGAGGCAGGCAGATTTCTGTAAGTTCGAGGCCAACCAGCTCTGCAGAGCTAGTTCCAGGACTAAGGCTGTTACACAGAGAAACCCTATCTCAACAAACCAAAAATTTTGGTTGCGGGTCACTGCAACACGAGGGACTGTTTTTTTTTTTTTTTTCTTTTCTTTT